AATTCGAGTGCACATTCCGCACAAGTTTTGCTTCCCGACTGATGCTGCGGCGCGTGTTTACAACGGGATTTAGACACCGACTGGCTGGGACCTATCAATCAGTCACTCACGCCCTGTGTATGCATCGCTTTCGGCCTATTTCCCTCTTCCTTTCGCCACGTTCCAAAGTCCTTCGCCCTTCCAGTAACACTCCCTAAACCGCGTCAGAGTCGACAACAGCCGAGTTCCAAGTCGTGACGGCGCTTTCCGAGGCGGCGGGAGCGAGGCGCCGAGGGTCTTGCCTTCACCAGCGTCAGCGGCGGATTACCGCTGGCGCTGCTCCACGCCGCCTTTCATTGCACGACGAATCAGCTGGGTACGAGGGGTGGGGGGCTGCCAGGATTACGATAATTTACGCTCGGAATCGCTCGCTGCGGCAGAGGAGAGCGAGCGAGCGAGGATAAGCCAGGCCCAGTGCATGACTCTCGCCTGCGCAAATAACGTTTCCACAAGGGACTCCCTTGTTGTTCCCAGCATGGCTTCCTCGGGGCGAGTTTACACGGCGCGGCGCTCGCGTCCGACACTCCGCTTAACTTCTACACTCCCCCGCCGGACGAGGAGGGAGGATGGGCCGTATTGGAGGGTTATTTAAGGCGTATTATCGCGTGCTCCGTGTCACTTATCAAAACCACACCCTGAAACGGGTTGTGGCTGGGACAGGTGTGATAATTTGGCCTTACATACACGAACTCGCCACTCCTACAACGGGTTCACGTACACTGGATGTAAACCTCTGTATATTACCATAAAAGACACCCCCCACACAGACAGACAGACACGCACGTACACACACACACACACACACACACACACACACACACACACACACACACACACCACACACACACACACACACACACACACACACACTACACACACACACACACACACACACACACACACACACACACACACACACACACACACACACACACACACAACACACACACACACACACACACACACACACACACACACACACACACACACACACACACACACACACACACACGAACTTACGTAAATCATTATCATACTCGTTGAAAAGAGAGAGGAAAACCAAAACGACAATATTTACATGTGAAATCAGTGTTGCCAGTCGCCAGACAAAGAGAGATTGAGAGAGAAAATCTAGACCGGAAAAATAACCACACAAACACGCACGCATTAACACACAAAAAAAAGGGAGATGAAAGATTTAAGGGAAGACCTAAAAGAACCACGTCTCTGTGCGCTTGTTTGCTTTTGCTTGTTTGTGCTTGCGCGCGGCCCGGAGAGCCAACATGTTGTCACTGCACACACCAAGTTATCGGCGTGTTGTGGCTAAGCGGCACCAAGGTCGCAGTCGCGCAATGGCCTGTGCTTGGGAATAGGCGAGGAAGTTGCAAGCACAGACGCTTCGCCATTAGCTAATAGCACATATCCCGGAAGTGTTAGATAATGGGCGAGTGTGTTAACCCGAGGTAGGAATGCGCCTTTGGAATATTTCGTTTTTCGGTGGCCATTGGGACGAGGCCGTGTGCCGGGGGGGGGGGGTAGCGTAGAGATATTAGATGACGTCCGTTTGCAGAATTCCTATTTTGATCATGCTCATCAAACAGCTTTCGCACGGGCTTGGCAATCAAATTAATTAGTCGCAAAACAGAATCCGATCTGTTTCTAAATATTGATGAATAAAGTTGTCTATTAGCTCGTTAGATTGTTAATATGATGAATTAGTTAATTCAAATACAGTTCAGATGCATAACAATATTTCTCTACATACACATGATTATATCTACAAACATGCAAACACAGGTGGCAGTTTTAATGCAAAATTGCGCGCGCGCGTGTGTATATGTATGTACCTGTACGTGTGCGTGCGTGTGTATGTTTTGCGTGTGTGTGTGCAAATTGATAATGTAGAACTATTCCTTCAATGAAAAAAGTGGCCTCGCGGAAGACGCTTCCCATGACGTCATTATGACGCTAAATGACGCTAACCTACATATCAAAGCATTAATAAAGGCATTAATACATATACATACATACATATATACATAATATATATATATATATATATATATATATATATATATATATATAATATATATATATATATGCTATATATGTATATATATAATAATATATATATATATATATATATATATATATATATATATATATATATATATATTATATATATAAATATATATATATAATATATATATATATATATATATATATATATATATATATATATATATATATAATACCCCTCCCCACACACACATATATTTACACACACAATATATATTATATATATATATATATAATATATATATATATATATATATATATATATATATATATATACTTATATGTATGTTTATTTAATATCTTCTTTGCTATCTTCCCAATCCAAATTTCCCTGCCCCTCTCCACAAGGTCACGTGGCGGACGGACGGACAGACAGAAAAAAACGGATGGACGGACAGACAAAACGGACGAATGGACAGACAAACGGACGGACACACAGACAAACGGAACGGACGGACAAAAAACGGACGACGGAGGACGGAACGGACAAACGGACGGAAGACACACAAACGGACACATACAGACAAACGACGGACACAGACTAACGGACAGACGGCCCTTCGACGTCCGCGATCGATGGACCCCCGTCCGCCGAGGTCCTGCGTCCGCCGCCGGGAGACGCGCGACGTGTTGCTGCGTGCATGTGTTGGGCGCGGGGTGGGTGGGGGTGGGGTGGGGGTGGGGGGGGTGGGGGGGTGGGTAAGGTTTTTCATGGTAATTTTTTTTTTCTATTTGTCATGTTCTGCTCTCTCTCTCTTTCTCTCTCTCTCAATTTCTCTCTTCTCTCTCTGTCTCTTTCTGTTCTGTCTGTCTGTCTGTCTCTCTCTCTCTCTCTCATCTGTCTCACTCCTTCATTTCTCTCTTTCTCTGTCTCTGTCTCTGTCTCTCTCTCTCCTCTCTCTCCTCATCTTTCTATTTCTCTTCTCTCTCTCTATCTCTATCGGTCTATCTCCATTTCTTCTGCTTTACCAAGCTCCTACACCTTCCTCTGACTTACCTCCACATCCTCAACTTCTTTCTCCTCGTTTATTTCCCAACTTTTTTTTCTCTCTCTCTTATTCCCTCCTCCCCTGCTTTCTTCACTATCAACTCCTTTCTCTTCGTTCTCAATCTCCCCTTTTCACATTTCAACATTTCAACCTGCGCCGTTTCCTCTTCATTTCGCCTCAACCCCCCCCCCACCCCATCCCCCCTCTTCCCCAACCCCACCATTTTCCTCTCCCCCCCTCCCCTCCCCAGAGCGGTGGTCAGTCGCGCGAAGTCAGACTCAAAATAGTTTTCAGACGTTGTGGTTCCATTTCATTTCGTTTCGTCCATTCCGCTTTGAACGCTGACCACCGAATGCCTGGCACATAGGAGAGAGATAAATGAAAGAGAGAAAGGGAGAGGAGAGAGAGAGGGAGATAAGAGAAAGAGAGAAAGGAGAGGAGAGAGAGAGAGGAGAAAGGAGAGGAGAGAGAGAGAGAGAGAGAGAGAGAGAGAAGAGAGAGAGAGAGAGAGAGAGAGAGAGAGAGAGAGAGAGAGAGAGAGAGAGAGAGAGAGAGAGAGAGAGAGAGAGAGAGAGAGAGAGAGAGAGAGAGAGAGAGAGATTGGGTCGATTGCGAGTGTGACGTCACTGAAATGTTTGTCAGGCTAACAAGCTCATTAAAAAATACTCAAGTTAAGGCTTGAGCAAAGGTGTGGACGTGCACACAGGCGCGCACACACACACACAACACACACACACACACACACACACACACCACACACACACACACACACACACACACACACACACACACACACACACACACCACACACACACACACACACACACACCACACACACACACACACACAACACGCACACACACACACAGGCACACACACACACACACACACACACACACACACACACACACACACACACACACACACACACACCACAAACAAACACACCACACACACACAAACACACACATACACACACACGCATCACCCACACACATACATTCCACTCGACTCATGCAACCCAAATACATTACAGAAGCAATAATAAACCAATATCAGAGTGGTCATTATGCTCTATTTAAAACACCCCGAGATACAGCACCTGCGACACATAGCAACAATTCGGAAAAAAAAATTGGTGATTATCGTACACCTGAACACCGGCTGTTTACTACAGGTTTCACGTCACGAAAAGCCATGATATCGTACGTTGTAAAAAAAAATAGGTTTGTTGCTCTAAAGGGTAACTGTCTTCTTTGTATAACGAAGATATATTTTAACCTCTGCTGTGTTGCATGACAGTCTTGCATTGCGGAAAATGGCGGTGTAACTACAATCTGATATTTGAGTCCCAACGGATGCCACAGATATTGCATCATCACTACTATTCCATTTCCCTCTTTCATTTTCCTATCTCATAGGCTCGCCTCTCGCCGATACTTTCCTTTCGCCTTCCTCTTTGCCCTTTCCTCCTCCTCCTTCCCTCGCTTCCCCTCCTCTCTCCCTTCCCTTCCTTTCTCTCTCCTCCTTCCCTTTCTTCCTCTCCTCTTCTTCCTTTCCTTCCTTTCTTCTCCTCTTCCTCCTTCCCTTCCTCCCTCTCTTCCTCCTCCTTCTCTCCCTTCCCTCTTTCCTCCTCCTTCCTCCCTTCCCTTCCTCCTCCTCCTTTCCTCCCTTCCCTTCCCTCTCCTCCTCCTCCTTTCCTCCCTTCCCTCCTCTTTCCCCTTCCTTCCACTCCCCTTCCCCCCACCTCCTCTCCCTCCCTCCCTCCCTCTACTTCGGGGTCACACCCTAATGACGTCACAACTTGCGTGACCCTGCCTCGTTATCCCCCCTTCCCCCCTCCCCCTCCCCTGACTTCCCCCTCCCCTGGAGTTTTTAAAGGGGTAGACCGGCGGAAAGAATGCAGGAGACGAAGATAGAGAGGGAGAAAGGGAGAAAGGGAGAGAGGGAGAGAGGGAGAGAGGGAGGGAGGGAGGGGAGAGAGAGAGAGAGAGAGAGAGAGAGAGAGAGAGAGAGAGAGAGAGAGAGAGAGAGAGAGAGAGAGAGAGAGAGAGAGAGAGAGAGAGAGAGAGAGAGAGGAAGAGAGAGAAAGAGAGAGAGAGGGAGAGAGAAAGAGAGAGAGAGAAAGAGAGAGAGAGAGAGAAAGAGAGAGAGAGAGAGAGAGAGAGAGAGAGAGAGAGAGAGAGAGAGAGAGAGAGAGAGA